GGGCCCCGTCCGAGCGCCGAGGGCAGCCGCGGGTCGCCCGAGCCTCGGCTCTTGCGGGCTCCGAGGGGGCGGCGAGATCCCCTGATCCGCCCTGACGCTTAAGTGGAGCCCCGAGGTGCTCCTTTTTCTCTCGTTTTCCCTTTCCCTTCACCCTTTTCCAGCCCCTCTCCCTCTTCGCTTGGCCGTGCTGCCGAGGGAGCCGAGGAGCCCGTGCCCTCCTCTGCTACAGCCTGGCGGAGCGTTGGGAATCGGGACTATGGGAGGAAGCATCGTGTAATTAATTCGTTAGTGCCTCTCATCTATCTTATCTTAATACTCTCAGAGAGCATCAACTATTGAGGGTATTACAGTCCTCAGGTGGCTACTTTTGCTATCTTTGTGCTCTGGAGTTTTTTCTCGGTTGCAAAATAGTGTGTGATGTTCCCGCAGCCAGAGGTGCCAAGGGACGTTTTCCCCCTCAGTCTTTGCTTTTTTTTCATAAGTTTAAAATTGCAGATCACTTCTACTGAAGTTGTGAAACCACGCTGATGCTGAAAGTTAAATACTCATTGAGGATTTTTTTTTAAAAATTTATTAATTTTCCTGCTCAAATGGTGTTCCAGATGCCTTAACTGCTCTGCTATTTAAAACTCTGTGAGCCCCCTCAGCTGGCTTTGTGGCTAATCATGTGTCCATGTTAATGTGCAGCACAATCCTGAGCACATCACTCCCCAGATTAATCTGGTCTTGAGTAGAGCAGTGGGACAGAAGGATGAAGAGGTCTGAACCACCCTGAGAGGTGGTGGAAGCCTCAAAATCCGCTCCCGATGTGCTTTGAGACACAGCCAGTGCCACAGGCTTGAGCCATGCAGGGCGTCTGAACTCGAGTTGCTGTTAGAAGAAAGTGTGTTTCTGTTTGGTGTGTGCTCAGGGTTTGAAAAGTAACCCTGTGTTATCTTAGGGTGCTACCAAGTTTATCTCCTCCAAGTAACCTTTGGGATCAGATCAGGTGGTGTTGTGAAACCTAGAGTTCTCCGATTAAAAAGAAGTCACTTTTTCCCAGATTTCTTCCCTGAAGCAGCTGCTCTGTTTTACCCCTCATTTAGTTAAAATACCTATTTGCTGGGACTTTCCAAGTCCTACTAATTATACTTGCCTTTTGAGGAGTAGGAGACTTCTTTTCAGTAACTGCATTTTTGTAATTTTTTTTTTAAACTCAAAATATAATGCAAAAGAGATGTATTAAAAACAATTCATTTACAAGGACATTTAGGAGCTATCTGAAAGACAGATAAAGATAACACACTAAAATGCAGGTATTTTCAGTTTAATAGTTTAATTTTGAAATTTCTATGCTATTTGAAATTCTAATTTATGCTAAGGCTGCATAAAAATTTGCTGAAGAAAAAAAAATCTGCCCTGACAGCGTGTAATTTAAATAGTCAAAATAGAAAAAGGGTGGGCAAAGAGGAAGTGAGGTTCTCATTTTGTAGAAGGGGAAATGAGGCATTTGGAGAAGAATAGACGGATTTTCATGAGTTTTCCTAATAGCTCCTGCTGCAGCCTAGGGCTGTTTTGCGGTATATTTGTAATGCCCAAGTAGCTTCCTCGCAGGGAGACTGCAGTGTAACCAGGTCCTCAGCCCTCGGTTGCAGATCCGGGGTCTGAATTAGTGCTTAATAGTCTCTGATTTGTGAGACTTTTTCCAAAGTAAGGATTGTCACTTTGGAAAAAGTCTCACAAATTGGAGACTATTATTCCGCTATTAAGTTTCTCCCAGAAAAAAGCAATTGAGAGGGAGGAAAGAAACTTTGAGAGGGAAAGAAATCACTCTTTTCTTTGTAACAAAGAAGTATCCAGATGACTGAAGCACAGCACGTTTACATCTTACTATGTTCTTGGTTTATTTGAACTAGTCTTGCTATCCCTTTGGATATTCACATTTTCCCCCTCGTTGTTTTCCTATTTTCTTGCTGTCATTTCTCCCATACCGTTTCTTTTGAACTCCCCACATTTTTTCACTTGTCTCAGTTGACTTCAGTGCAAATTCCCTGTGTCTTGTCCCTTTCCTCTTGCTTGCTACATCTGTCCCTTCTTGTGGACACAAATAACCCTTCTTGAAAATCTGAATAGAAGTGGTAACAGGACCATAAGCAAGTAAAACTTGTAGTATTTTTGTTTTAATGAGGGGGAGTGGGAAAAGAAATATATATATATTTTTTCCCCGTGTAGTGCTTGCTTGATTCTGAGGCCTTTAGGAGATAAAATGTACTTTAAGCTGTCTCTAACATGGTAAATTTTGCTTTTCTTCCTTTTTTCCCAACCTGATCAGTTTTCACATTCTGTGATTCATGTTGAACTTTCAGCTTTGACTACTTAATACAAAAGAAAAAAAAAATAAATGCATTTGCTTTCTTGCTTCAGTCTTGCTGTTAGAGAGTGCAGGTTAAATCACTGTTTTTCAAGAGGGGGGAAAAAAAAGTCTCAGTAAACAGTGTTGGTGAATGCACCGGGAGGTTAGGAATTCCCTTGTTAATGACAATTGGCTCTGGAATGCTGCAAGGAGGAGACAGTGAGGACTCTTTTTTACAGCAGTGCATTGTTTTAACATCTTGTTTTTGAAAAGTCAAACTGTGAGAAGTTAAAATGGGCACTAACTGTGCCTTTGAAATGCCTAGCATATACTTGGACAGAAATGGTACCAGTTAAAGATGTGGCTTTCAGGATTTCAGGTAGTGGCATCCTTCCTAAAACATTTTAACGAGCGCTTCCACACCATGGTGTGTTTGTTAACTTGCAACAGGTGAATGGCATCCACCCAGAATGCAGATTTCACCTGGAGATTCATAAGGAGGAAACAAGATGTATGGAGCTCCTAAAGAATGCCAAACCAGTGGACTACAGAGGTAAGAAAAGATGAGCTGTAATGCGGAGATGGCTCAAGTAAGGAAGGTTTTTCTCCCTTTCCCTTTGCTGGCTCAACCACTGTTGCCAAGCTGTTCTGTACTGTGCTTATAATTATTTACTTTAGAATTCAGGCTGTCTTTGTGTTAAAAGCACAGCTGCAGCAAGGGGTGGGAGGTGTGCTGGGCTAGAAACGCTGGGGGAGACACTAAGGGGGAGCAAATGGGCACTCATATTTTTAGGCTGTTGCTGCTTGTACTCTTTGGCAGGCAGAGAGGCAGGATTGTCACAATGGGGGACAGCAGAAAATGTGTCCGAGAGAAAGGCAGGGAAATGCCAAAGGGAATGAAAGCCTTGGATCCCGGTGTCTCTTTCCGACTCCAGGAGAAAATGAACTGCTACTGTCAAAAAGTGATGAGAATGATCACTGCGTTTTAAGGGAGAAGTCGTTTTGGGCAGAACATTCACCCTCAGAAGTCCAGGGGGTCATGTGCAAGTGAAATGTGACAGTGGTTACAGTTAAGAAACAAATTTATTCTGTTACATTATTTTCATTTTTTTCCTTTAGATAGAAAGTAGATATGATAGCAAGTAGATATGATCAATCATAACTTAAGGCAGGAAAGAAAGAAGAGGAAAAACTTTTTTCTTTTTGTAGATTTTCTTGCTGCAATATCATGTGAGTAAAACATAAGACTATCAGAAAACAAACCAAGATGACTTTTTTCCTTGAAAATTGCTGCTGACACAGTTATTTTTTTCAGCAAGTCAACAAAGTGTGAAAGTAGGTCCAGAAAGGCAAATGAAAAGCAAATCCATAAAATTAGCTAGGATAAAAGTCTTAAGATTTTTAGGAAAGTTGGAAGAATGCATTTATTAAACTTTATTTTTAATGTTGAAGGATTAGTACTTAAAGTTTTCTTTTGTAAAATATGTCAACATTTGTGAGCAAGAAGCACTCTCTGTGACCCTAGTGTTGAAAGGGTAGTGCTTCTTCAAGTGCTCCCATGTGCTACCTGCCCAATGGTCTTCTGGTAACATGTCTAACATTCCAAGGGAAGGGTGGGCTTCCAGAGAGTCTTAAAAATGGGAAATGAGTTTTAGATGTTAAAAATATTTATGAAAGCAACTTTTTTTCAGTTTAAAATCAACTTTTGTTTTTTAACAAAATAATGATTCAGCTAAAACTAATCACTCATTTGCATTGTCAGAATCCTTTCAAAGTAGCTGGAAATAATTAGTTTCAAATTAGTTCTACATAGCCATAAATCTCAACAGAGTCCTGCATTTTAGTATGGCATTTTGGTATTACCTCAGAATAACAGCTTTTTGGAGGATGACAGCGCTGCTGTGCTGCATTTCCTTGACTGAGTAGATGCTATATAGGATGTGCCTTTTTCCATATTCAATCCCTTCAGGATGTGCTTCTGAAGAACATTATGGTTGCTCAAGGACCTACCATCTGCAGTGCCCTTAAAGCATAAGCATGAGTCTCAACTCATGAACCTTTCTCCATCTCTCTTCTTGATTTGAATGTGTAGTTCCCTCAGTGCATACTTCAATACCAATTTGTCTACAAGAAAATAATTAAAAGGTTCATCAGCAGTTTACATTTGCTATCATTTCTCCTTTTGATTAATCCAGATCAGTAATTACAAAAAATATAACAACAGTGAATCATTTGTATGAGTAAGATTTTGCTTGGAAGAGATATCCAAATAATTCATCTGCATGTAGATTTTCTTTGAGTGGTAAAGAGATGGCTGTTGCATAAATAGTAGCAGTGTAAATCCAGATGGAGAAGTAATTATTAGTTATGCTTAATGAATTAAATCCTGAATTAATAAATTCACTAATAGCAATGTTAAGACTTTGGAAGTCAGGTTGCTTCAAGATTCAGCTCCAATCTCCCAGATGCTGGACTGCTCGGAGAATATGTTTGTGATAAGCACAAGTTTCAATTTTTTTTTCTTTTTCCTCGGAAAAGAAAGAGTCAATTCTGTCAATAAGTTCTTGAAAGGCTCCTTTCACTTGAAAAACAGTGGTCTCCTGAAGGCAAACTGCCTTATAAGAACTTCATGTCATGGAAGGAGACAGTATGTCTAATACTGTTGATTCAGTCCTGCAGGTAGAGATAAAACAGCAGTGGGAGGATTTATAAATTTAATTGAATGCCTGTCTGAAACTAATGGAATATTCCATTTTGTAGGAGACTGGAGTATTTGAGGTAGCGAACCCAGCTTAGAAACGTATGTTTAATGTGCTAGGAGAATTTATCCTATGCTGCATGTTATGGATAGCATCACCAAGAACTTGTCCAGATGAGTCCATGTTAAAATATATTCATTTGTATATCCTAAAAAAAAGCGCTTTCTCCTCATGCCCTTTTTTCTAACCAATCGACTCTGTACATTCAAAAATGTAGGTAGTCTTTTGAACAGAGATTGCTATGTGCTACTCTGCTGATAAAGAAAAACTACTAATGCAAATTGGCAAGTTGGAACTATTCCATGTCTAAACTCTACATATAAAACTTAGATTACATTTGAAAGATATTTCAAAAAATCCACAAAACCTACTTTTTTTCTTGAAAGGGAAAAGCTGTTGTCACACTTTTCTGACTAACTTTGGTATGTGTCACTTGTATCATTCAAGGTATAATGAAATCCTATGGGAGTTGTGGGAGAGAATTTGGGAACAGAAGTTCACTGAGTTTGTTTACTGGAGGCTTGGGCCTTCCTTCTCAAAATGAGTGGGGATTTTACCAACTCACTTAGGAAAGCTTCTTAGGTGCCCGTATTTCTGCCCGTCACATTATAGAACCTGATGTGTGTGCACAGCTACTGCATTAAGGTACCAAATCTTGCTGGATAGGCAGCTTCTCCTTTGGCCTGGAAGGCAATTTATTATGCTAATATTTCCACATCAGTTAGGGAGACATAAAAGAAAGGTTTAAAGACTGTTATGATATTTTTTGACAATATAAATCAATCTTTTTATCTTGATTGAGTTGTATCATAACATGGGCTGAAGAATTTCATTCAGAAATCTACACAGTGTTCATAAAACTGTTGGCTATGAATTCCATGAAGGACCTGCTTGCTTCATGGTTTAGCAAAGCAATAGTGTATTTGCTAAGAAATGTTCTATTAATGCTGTGTATATATTCTTTGAACTGTGTCAAACATATTAAAAAGTACAAGACCCAGTCTGTCAAAATATTTTTTGGGTAGGGAAGAGCATTACACTCATTTAGGGAAGAAAGTCACTCCAAAGATTTGTGGCAGCACCTACCTCTTTAGTGATTTCTAGCAAATCTAGATGCTTACTTCATGAAGAATGAATCAGCTTCCATCCACATCTGTTGTCCTCCTCCCTTCCATAATTTGACAGCTATGGATATGTACATAAGCTAAAAGCCTAAAATAGAAATTAATCAGTATGGATGGACTGGACTAGAATTCATCAGTCTTCCAGAAATAAGAGCACAAAAAATCCTAAATTGTTCATAATAGCTGTAAATTTCAAGTTTTATATAGCAATATGTGATTTGATCTTTTACTGATTCTGCATAGCTAGTACTCCCACAACAATAACAAAAAAAAGGGAGCGGGGGGACTCCCAATAAAAGGGTTGGAAGTAAATAAAGATCTGTGAACTGCAAGATTTTGTCTTTATTAGGTATTTAGATTTTTAGAAAATTATTTCATTCAACTTTAAATGAAAAGTAAAATCTCATAGTGAAAAATTAAAATTCACATCCATTCAAATATGTTGATAGACTTTGTAACAGGTTTCTGTAGCAACAAACAAAAACCTATAAAAATTTTTATTATGGAAAAAAAGTCTTTTTAAATTCATTTTGAACTGAGTGACTGCTCAGTTAAATGAGTATTTTCAACTCTTGCTTTCCAAATGTTTTCTTGTGACACCCATATGCCAGATAAGATATCAACTCTAAAATTAAAAATGTTAACTCTGGGGATGGGATATAGACAAAAAGAGAAATGACTTTGGAAATAATTTTGCACAGAACAATTTCATAAACCTTTCAAAGAGCAGCTTCATGATGCAGCAAGTAATGGAAAATTAAAACAGACAGGGCTACCAAAAGGATGCTCTCATTTATTCATAAATTGAAAGCAAGAGTCACCACTGTCACTATTTAATCTCCTGAATTGGGCTGTGAGAAGAATTTCACTCAGTGACCTGCCCACCCTTAGGGCCTTGTGGAAAAATACTGCACATCTTTGAGAGTGCTCTTTGGAATTACAGGATGAGTATTCAAATGACAGACTTGTTGCAAATTATCCAAAAGTTAGTTTACCTAACTAATCCTTGTTAGGTTTATTTCTCCAGTGAGAGAGAAGTCCCTATCTTGTGTTTAAGTGTGGGTTTATGTATGGCATGAAGGACTGACGTTGTGAGTATAGCTACACCAGCCTGGAGATCAGCCTGTCCTCCGCACCAGCAGAAGCATAAGAGAATTACACAAAACCAGATGAAATTTCTTGCTTGCTATGTGAGGGAGAAAAAAATGGATATGGGCCTATCTCCTCATGGGTTTCTTAACTCTTAATCCTCCTAGGAAAGCTGAGGTGCTCAGTCTCATCAAAGTGTTCGATGGCTACTTGTTTGGGGTTGGTTTTTTTGTTGTTTTTTTTTTTTCAGATCAGATTTTTTTTTTGCAGTTCAGACTGAAGGATTGTTTAGAGTAGAGTTGAATGTAGAGTTCAATGAAGTAGTTGAAGTAGCACCTGTAACTCTTGACAGGACAACTTCAATTTCTCTGCTGCTGGTTTCCTAGCTGTAGGATAGTCCCGCTGCTATTTTTTGGTTCATGCATTTTTTTAACAAGTATTTAAGGAGCTCTGGGAAGCTTGTTTTGTATGTTTGTCTTATGGAATTTCATTAATAAATTGTCATCACTAATGAAACAGTTAGTACTGTGTCCATCCCCATGGTGTTGACAATTTTGGGCTTTAATGTAGTTTATACATAA